GGCTGGCAAACGGCAGCTTGGAAAGCATCAAGAAAGTCATTGCTGTGGATCTGAGGTGCCTGCTGGGGACGGTGTTTGGAGGGTTTGGCGGGTTTTGGAGGGTTTGGAGCGTTTGGAGGGTTTGGAGGGTTTGGAGAGTTTTGGAGGGTTTGCGGGCTGGCAAACGGCAGCTTTGAAAGCCTAAGAAAGCCATTGCTGTGGCCTGGCCTTTGAAAGCCTAAGAAAGCCAGCTTTGAAAGCCCATAGAAAGCCATTGCTGTGGCCTGGCCCTGGGGTTGCTGTGGCCTGGCCCTGGGGTGCCTGTTGGGGAAGTTGCCTTGGCCCTAGGGTGCATGTTGGGGGAAGGTGTTTGGAATTTTGGAAGTTTGGATCCTTTGCAGGCTGGCAAACTGCAGCTTTGAGGCCCATAGAAAGTCATTGCTGTGGCCCTGGCCCCCTGTTAAGGAAGGTGTTTGGAATTTTAGAGGGGTTGCAGCCTTTGCGGGCTGGCAAACGGCAGCTTTGAAAGCATCAAGAAAGTCATTGCTGTGGATCTGAGGTGCCTGCTGGGGACGGTGTTTGGATGGTTTGGCGGGTTTTGGAGGGTTTGGAGCGTTTGGAGGGTTTGGAGGGTTTGGAGAGTTTTGGAGGGTTTGCGGGCTGGCAAACGGCAGCTTTGAAAGCCTAAGAAAGCCATTGCTGTGGCCTGGCCCTGGGGTGCCTGTTGGGAAGTGGCCTTGGCCCTAGGGTGCATGTTGGGGAAGGTGTTTGGAATTTTGGAAGTTTGGATCCTTTGCAGGCTGGCAAACTGCAGCTTTGAGGCCCATGGAAGGTCATTGCTGTGGCCCTGGCCCCCCAAACTGCAGCTTTGAGGCCCATAGAAAGTCATTGCTGTGGCCCTGGCCCCCTGTTAAGGCAGCTTTGAAAGCATCAAGAAAGTCATTGCTGTGGATCTGAGGTGCCTGCTGGGGACGGTGTTTGGAGGGTTTGGCGGGTTTAGGAGGGTTTGGAGCGTTTGGAGGGTTTGGAGAGTTTTGGGGAGTTTTGGAGGGTTTGCGGGCTGGCAAACGGCAGCTTTGAAAGCCTATAGAAAGCCATTGCTGTGGCCTGGCCCTGGGGTGCCTGTTGGGGAAGTGGCCTTGGCCCTAGGGTGCATGTTGGGGAAGGTGTTTGGAATTTTGGAAGTTTGGATCCTTTGCAGGCTGGCAAACTGCAGCTTTGAGGCCCATAGAAAGTCATTGCTGTGGCCCTGGCCCCCTGTTAAGGAAGGTGTTTGGAATTTTAGAGGGGTTGCAGCCTTTGCGGGCTGGCAAGCGGCAGCTTTGAAAGCATCAAGAAAGTAATTGCTGTGGATCTGAGGTGCCTGCTGGGGACGGTGTTTGGAGGGTTTTGGAGGGTTTGGAGCGTTTGGAGGGTTTGGAGAGTTTTGGAGGGTTTGCGGGCTGGCAAACGGCAGCTTTGAAAGCCTAAGAAAGCCAGCTTTGAAAGCCCATAGAAAGCCATTGCTGTGGCCTGGCCCTGGGGTGCCTGTTGGGGAAGTGGCCTTGGCCCTAGGGGGCATGTTGGGGGAGGTGTTTGGAATTTTGGAAGTTTGGATCCTTTGCAGGCTGGCAAACTGCAGCTTTGAGGCCCATAGAAAGTCATTGCTGTGGCCCTGGCCCCCTGTTAAGGCAGCTTTGAAAGCATCAAGAAAGTCATTGCTGTGGATCTGAGGTGTGTGCTGGGGACGGTGTTTGGAGGGTTTGGCGGGTTTTGGAGGGGTTGGAGTGTTTGGAGCGTTTGGAGAGTTGTGGAGGGTTTGCGGGCTGGCAAACGGCAGCTTTGAAAGCCTAAGAAAGCCATTGCTGTGGCCTGGCCCTGGGGTGCCTGTTGGGGAAGTTGCCTTGGCCCTAGGGTGCATGTTGGGGAAGGTGTTTGGAAGTTTGGATCCTTTGCAGGCTGGCAAACTGCAGCTTTGAGGCCCATAGAAAGTCATTGCTGTGGCCCTGGCCCCCTGTTAAGGAAGGTGTTTGGAATTTTAGAGGGGTTGCAGCCTTTGCGGGCTGGCAAACGGCAGCTTTGAAAGCATCAAGAAAGTCATTGCTGTGGATCTGAGGTGCCTGCTGGGGACGGTGTTTGGAGGGTTTGGCGGGTTTTGGAGGGTTTGGAGCGTTTGGAGCGTTTGGAGAGTTTTGGAGGGTTTGCGGGCTGGCAACGGCAGCTTTGAAGCTAAGAAAGCCAGATTTGAAAGCCCATAGAAGCCATTGCTGTGGCCTGGCCCTGGGGTGCCTGTTGGGGAAGTTGCCTTGGCCCTAGGGTGCATGTTGGGGAAGGTGTTTGGAAGTTTGGATCCTTTGCAGGCTGGCAAACTGCAGCTTTGAGGCCCATAGAAAGTCATTGCTGTGGCCCTGGCCCCCTGTTAAGGCAGCTTTGAAAGCATCAAGAAAGTCATTGCTGTGGATCTGAGGTGTGTGCTGGGGACGGTGTTTGGAGGGTTTGGCGGGTTGGGGAGGGTTTGGAGCGTTTGGAGCGTTTGGAGAGTTTTGGAGGGTTTGCAGGCTGGCAAACGGCAGCTTTGAAAGCCTAAGAAAGCCATTGCTGTGGCCTGGCCCTGGGGTGCTTGTTGGGGAAGTTGCCTTGGCCCTAGGGTGCATATTGGGGAAGGTGTTTGGAATTTTGGAAGTTTGGATCCTTTGCAGGCTGGCAAACTGCAGCTTTGAGGCCCATAGAAAGTCATTGCTGTGGCCCTGGCCCCCTGTTAAGGAAGGTGTTTGGAATTTTAGAGGGGTTGCAGCCTTTGCGGGCTGGCAAACGGCAGCTTGGAAAGCATCAAGAAAGTCATTGTTGTGGATCTGAGGTGCCTGCTGGGGACGGTGTTTGGAGGGTTTGGAGCGTTTGGAGGGTTTGGAGAGTTTTGGAGGGTTTGCGGGCTGGCAAACGGCAGCTTTGAAAGCTTAAGAAAGCCATTGCTGTGGCCTGGCCCTGGGGTGCCTGTTGGGGAAGTGGCCTTGGCCCTGGCCGTGGGGTGCCTGTTGGGGAAGTGGCCTTGGCCCTGGGGTGCCTGTTGGGGAAGGTGTTTGGAATTTTGTTTTGGAAAGTTTGGAGCCTTTGCGGGCTACCAAGCGGCACCTTTGAAATTCATAAAAAGTCTCATTGCTGTGGCCCTGGCCCTGGGGGTTTGGAATTTTGGAGGCGTTTGGAGCCTTTGCGGGCTGGCAAACGGCAGCTTTGAAAGCTCATAGAAAGTCATTGCTGTGGCCCTGGCCCTGGGGTGCCTGTTGGGGAAGCTGCTTAAGGGTAAAGGTTTGGAGGGTTTGGAAGAGGACAAGGTCCACACCTGCGGTGGTCCCAGGCGCCGCCCCGGCCTTGGCGAAGGCCGGGGTCGGCGGATATAGCAACCTGAAACACTTTTCTACCTTTTCAGGGCTGCTATATATCATAATAATTATATTATATATGTATTCGAATCCAGACACCCAACTGAAGTGTAAGGTAGCAAAAGTAAAAGTCGCACAGCCAGCCACGAGAGCGGTGCCCTTGATATGTTTAGTCGCGATTTATTTGAAACGTTTTTCCGTGTTTCGTCTTGGCAGGCTGGAGCCGATACACGATTGAGGGCAAGGGCAAAGGCCAACGTTCCAGGACAGAGTAAGTTGGAGATGTTTAGAGTCAAGTCAATGCCACAGGCAGTTGACTGCTGTCAAAGCGTTTCAAGATGTTTCAAGCAAATTGAACAGACTTCATCTCTGTGAAGAAGCTCAGATTTGTGCAGTGAAGGGGAAGGAGGCGGAGTTCGCGAAGGAGGCAGAAGCGCAGTGACATGGCCGCAAGTCCTTGCAAGCAGCCAGTTTTGTTCGCACATGCAAGCAAGACACGAGCCAGTAAGATTTTCGAATCTATCCAGGTAAAACCAAGAAATCATCGAGAACGAGATCATCGAGGCTCTATCCTGACAAATCAATTTGCTGCTATCATTTCGAGTGAGCTGATATCGCAGTGGCAGTGTGCCACATGTTACTTCAAGGTCTGGCTCTTCAAAGGGGTCAGACTCTCGTTCCTCTGGATCCAGGTTCGACCCGCAGCATTTTATGCGTTTGATTTAATTTGCATCGTTACAGTCGTTACAGCGAATGCATCTTACATGCACTGCATCACTCAAGGCATCACTGGCCAAATCAAATTCATTTCATAGGTGTAACTGGTGTAGTGCCTTGCGGTCACCTACAATTCGTAGAGATCCTACAGTAGACTCCATCGACAGGTCGCGCTCGCGATCCAGGGGACGCAAGGACCGGACCCGGCATCGCCGCGACCGAGAGCGATCTCGGAACCCGGAGAAGGAGGCCAAGCAGAAGACCACGGGGACATGGGAAAACCAGGAAGACAACTCTGGAATCAAACTACTATAATTATATATATATAATTATACAATATTATAACATTTATTGCAGAATACCACATCATATTAGTTCCTCATGACTCATAACACACAGCCATTTAAAACAATGTTTGAAACATCTTTGAAACATTAAGTACTATTTGGGGGTCACTTGAGGAGCATTGACCCAACACGTGGTGTTTCCACAGGTGCCGTCTATGGGTCCTGACCTCGAGCAATGATCAAATCACAGCGAAGGCATGCGACGCTCATGATGCTCTGCTCCCAAGGTTGGCCAGGAGCTCCTCCATTTATGCCAATGCCAGGCAACCTTTCACATGACGGGTGCTTCACAGTGCCAGCAAAACATAGAAAACCAATCAAAACCCAGAGAATCATTAGACTAAGTGACTAGACCCGACTAGACCCGCTAGAATCTATTGAATCTATTGACACTTCCAATCGTCATCATCTCGACTTCGGCATCCTTTTGTGGCGCAGGGATTCCGATGATGCCACCCCCATGGGTCTCGGTCCCAGTAACATCCAGCCACGGTCACACCATTGGACCTGATCGATGATCAATGATGATCAATGATGATCATGGCTTGTCAGCTTGTCATATCGCCCACATGTCGCCCTTTGCATGGCCTGTCATGCGGAGGCCATGCCTTGGGGCATGCCCATGCCTGGCATGCCCGTGGCGTATGATGCGGAGGCAAAGTCTCGTTTGATGTTCAAAGATGGGCATTTGGATGGAAGTGCAAACAATGTAAAAACGGTAGAAGATGGTCTTACTGGTACATGTACAATCATGTACATCAAATTTGAAACGATTCTGTAAGTCTAAGTATTCGGATACCGGAAAAAATGCCCATTTAGATCCCTTGAGTCCGAAGGACCGAATCTAGGAAAGTAAAGAAATTGGACCCAAACGGATACAGATAGTACAAATGATGCACAGGGGGAAGTCAAACTGATAGGAAAGGGATGATAGGTAAGGACGTCACAGGGCACTCTGACACTTTAAGAAAGTATGGAGGGGCGACACCAACTCCCCAACGCAAAAATAATGGCTGCAAGTCGAGGAGTGGCCGGCTGCCTGAAACGGAATAACAATCCACAATATTCCACAATTATACATATTCGATTTTTGTCCAAAGGTGTTCTGAAAGCAGCACCCAAAAAAATCCTAAACGCAATTCTTCAAATTCCAGTCAAGCACACGAAGCGAAAGCAGCTTTTGGGGTGTGTGTGTGTGTTTGACTAGGGTGTGATGGAGGTCATGTGGAACACTATCAACGATGGTTGCCTTGCAGAGTCAACAAAATCTCGAGCGATATAAAATCTTTCAAGTATCGTTTAATAGTTAGTATTCGCATGCAATGATGCTATAACCCCAAGAAAGCAATACGAAATGATGCCAAGTGATGCCAAGTGATGCCAAGTGATGCCAAGTGATGCCACGTATAAGAGCTTCCGTGAAGGAGGCAGAGCGGCAGTTGCGGAGAGCTGAAAAGGCAGCCAGGAAAGAGGGACGGAGGCCGGGCCGAAAACGGACACAGGCGGTCCAGGTGGTGCAGGAAAGTCGTTCACTACTTGGTCACCGCGTGTCTCGCAGGCAAAAAGGTGAAGGGAACGACAAGACACAGGTGGGCAGAACCTCAGTGCCAACAGCTTCAAAACGCTCAGCCAGTTCAGTACTTTCAAACAGACTGGTGTGTTCACTGTGATGGAAACAGGTACAGTACTGTAATGTACTGTATGGAGTTGGGGACCAGAACGTGTGACATTGGGCACACATGGCGACCCAAATATTGCTGACGTCGTGCAGTCGTGCAGGTCTGGGAAGACCACCCTGCACGGGCACAGAAAAAGTGGGGAATCTCAGAGGATCAGCGCAGGCTCCACCGCTGAGAAGTTGAAGGCTATCAAGACTGGTTAAGACTGGTTGAGCAGTTGAGCAGAAGTGTATGATCTATCTCTATGTATATAGATTGATCTAGATTCTAATCTAGAATCTAGATCTGAATTTAGCATAATTTAGCGTTGTATCAAATTGTATCCCCCTTCCTACCCCTTAAAAAGACTGGAACCGCATTCACAGCATTGGACAATACTTAGCCAGGCATTCCTCCTCCAGGCTGGCTTTGTCTTGTGATGTGGAGAGCTTGTCAAAGGTTGTGGGAATTACGGTGAACATTGTAACATTGCTGTTATCCGACTCAGTTATTGGCTCAAAACTGCCCGAAGCCACTTGTGTCAGAGCCATGGTGGGCAGGTGTGGCCAAATATCAATTTCCTCATATTTTCCCAGTTTTTTTTCAAACATATTCTCAAGTGTTTCCTCTTCAGAACCCTGGAACCCTTGTGGCTCTTGCATTGGACTGCGTTCAGGTTCCGCTTTTCGAGTCGACCGCGCAGTGCTCCTGTTTCGTCTTGGAGAGAACAGTTGCCTTGCCATGCCTTGCCATGCCTTGCCCAAGGTATCGTCAATGTCCAACGCTCTGCCAGGTATCTTGCTGGTTTCCACCTTGGTGCTGGCAGCTTTGAAGGCGTTCTTAGTTTCAGTGTGGCCAAATCTTCCCAAAACAGGCTGCAAGTGCAACTGGGGTTTGCCGGAGTGTTGACAGGCTGCACCTTGGTCTGCACCTTGTGCCGTTGTTCTCGAGGACTAGCCTAAAAGCTTCGAGATGTCGAGCAGATGCAGACATTCGATTGCATTTGCAAATACTTTGTGAGCTGCACAATGCTGATCTTCTCTTATCTTCAGGAGGTTGCTGTCACACCACCAGCAGATTCGCTGGAATCACTTTCTCTCAAGGTGCACCAGATAGCCATGCAAGAGGACGAATGAACACGGATCTGCGTCAGCCTTTTAGCATTCCATTGATTCGATTGCCTTCACGAAATCCCAACCAGGCTTTGATAAGGCGTCTTGCACAGCCAGCTGTGCTGCCTGGCTCGTTTCAAAGCTAGACTTCAAAGCCAAATGAATTCCAATTTTCCTAGTGTTCAAAGCTAGTTTTCAATGTGACTGCAATGTTTTTGAACTAAGCTGTGACAATTTCCGCCAGGCCAACGAGTTTTGGTACCAGCAGTACGACACTAACGCTGTGGGTGAGTGCGCTTGGGGTAATATGACGAGATGTTTCTGGAGCTTCCATGAGCTTCCGTGTTTAGAATCATGGAACTCTTCAGGTTTTCAACTTGATTCATGTGGATTCCCTGACTTTACGTGTTTTACATTGTTTTACCCTACTCTGCATGGAGAGCCCATGAGAAGAGCAAGATGCAAAGTCTGACAGGGCTTGGCGTGGGTCCCGGCACTGGGTGGACCGTGCTGGTGTTGGTCAGTCCATGCCTCAGAGGTTTTTGCACACAACCAATTGCGCAAAGACACACTGTAGCATTGACAGAGGTCTCAGCAGGTTTTGGCAAAGCGTGTCTCCAAGATGTGTCTGTCTTTGGAAGATTTGCCGTTTGTTTTGCCCTTGCCACATTTCTTCCTTTGGCATTATCAAATTGTCCCCTTTCTGAGTCAGAGCAGCAGTCAGCAAATATAGCACTCTGCACTACGCTGATGTGGTCTGGCTGATGTGGTCTGAAATCTGCACGGTCACAACGATAGAGAGGATTTCAGAGGCCTTTCAGATCTATGATCCTACCTTACAGCATCCGAATCCAGCTAAGCTCAGAAAGGGCTAGGAAGACACGTTCCAACTAATCTGACAAACTCTCGTAGCATCTTACGCATGTCACACACACACACAGAATCATACAAAGCTCGCTTTCCGCAGACGGTCGATTGAGGACTGGTGAGGAGTTGGAGCAACAGCTGGCATCAACGCGCCTTTGCCTTAGTCTGAATGGGCTGACACAGTTTTAGTTTTGACAGCAACCGATAGCCTTGTGGTTCTTTTGTCGGTCCTTTCATTTGGGGAGTACTGATAGTCTTGCACTTGGAGTCTTGTGATCTGTTTTGGCAGCAGAACCTCATAAGACAGTCTTGCCATTGAAAATCTCTAAAGCCCCGAGGTATTGCAGGACGAAGCATCAATGACGGGTGTGACACTTGTGAAATCCTTTCAGAGCTTCAGTGTTATTTTGGAGGTTTGCAATATATTTTATTGCTTTTTATTGATTCAAGGAGTTTGGAAAGTTCAATTGCAAGCAAGGTGCCAATTTCAGCTTCAATATTACGTCGTGGACGTTTCTTTGCCTGTCAGGCGACGGCATCAGATGCGCTTGGCCCGGGCGCGAAACCTGAGGGAGCTCGAGGCTGTGTTATGAGTCAAAGTTTGCTTGAGCTACTCCAAGGCTTACAAAGGGTTACAAAGCTCACCTAATCAAAAGCAAGCGGAAACCCTTTGAAAGCGAAGTGGCTGCATTTGGCCAGGAACGTTTGGCTTCGCTAGAGTGGCTGGCCAAGCAGTTGGGCTGGAAGTATTTTTTGCCCTCTTGTAGGCAAGCATGTAAAATGTGCCGTTTGTTCAGAGGGTTCTATTCTGGTTTGCATTTTGCATGTTCTTTTTGTGCTCTGTATTTTATGTTAAATGCTGTTTTATGCTTTGCTTTGTGTGTTTTGTTGAATTTGGCAAGCTGTTTTTGGCGTGCCTTCTTCGTTCTGCTTTCCTTGTAGGGCGGTGTGCTTTTTGGTGCATTTTGGTGCTGTTGTTGCGACTTTTCAGCTTGTATACTACTATCCTTGATTTTGTTTCTGGGTCTTTGGAGCTGCAACTTCCAATTTGCACGCTATTTCGGAGCCCCATCCTCCCATTTACGCGCTATTTGCGCCACTTCGGAGCTCCAACTCCTGTGTACTACAGACTACATACCATAAACCAACATGTAGGATATACACTCGTACCTCTTTCCTCTTATTCATTATCTATATAATATATAATATATAATATATAATAATATAATATATAATATCTAATATCTAATTTCTAATATATAATACCTAATATCTAATATCTAATATCAATCTCTAATATCTAATATCTAATATCTACTATCTAATATCTAATATCTAATATCTAATATCTAATATCTAATATCTACTATCTACTATCTACTATCTATCTATCTATCTATCTATCTATCTCTCTATCTATCTCTCTATCTATCTCTCTATCTATCTCTCTATCTATCTCTCTATCTATCTCTCTATCTATCTCTCTATCTATCTCTCTCTCTATCTCTCTCTCTATCTATCTCTCTCTATCTCTCTCTATCTCTCTCTATCTATCTCTATCTATCTCTATCTATCTCTATCTATCTCTATCTATCTCTATCTATCTCTATCTATCTCTTTCTATCTCTATCTATCTCTATCTATCTCTATCTATCTCTATCTATCTCTATCTATATCTATCTATCTCTATCTATCTCTATCTATCTCTATCTATCTCTATCTATCTCTATCTATCTCTATCTATCTCTATCTATCTCTATCTATCTCTATCTATCTCTATCTATCTCTATCTATCTCTATCTATCTCTATCTATCTCTATCTATCTCTATCTATCTCCTATCTATCTCTATCTATCTATCTATCTATCTCTATCTATCTCTATCTATCTCTATCTATCTCTATCTATCTATCTATCTCTATCTATCTCTATCTATCTCTATCTATCTCTATCTATCTCTATCTATCTCTATCTATCTCTATCTATCTCTATCTATCTCTATCTATCTCTATATATCTCTATCTATCTCTATCTATCTCTATCTATCTCTATCTATCTCTATCTATCTCTATCTATCTCTATCTATCTCTATCTATCTCTATCTATCTCTATCTATCTCTATCTATCTCTATCTATCTCTCTATCTCTCTATCTGTTTATCTATTTATCTATTTATCTATCTGTATCTATCCGTGTTTATTCTGCGTGTCTTTTCCGTTTGTGACTGCCGTAAATCGTCAAAATACATTTGGAATTGCACTTTCCTAAATCAGCAGAAACAGAAAGAGACATTCCTCTCTCTATTCTTGCACGGATCAGATCTCGTTCGCACGTCTGGCTAGCAAGGCGTCAAGGGCCGCGCTTGCAACAGGCCTGGAACAATTTTTCCACTAACTTGTGCGGCTCGGCATAAACAAAAGAAACGACGCTTTTCAGATCTTGGTTTGACCGGTTTGACCAAAGAAACCGACTGTTTGGGCCACAGCACTTTGTTTGAGCCTGTTGGGCTTGATTTGTAATGCATCCATAATCATCCATATGCATCCATGTTGTGCAGTTGGCAAGCCGATTCTTCGACTCCAATGCGCTGGCAGAGCGCTGGCACAGTGCTGCAAGCCCATCTGAGGCTTTGCTTTGAGCAATTCGAGATGAATGAAGTGAGATTGGAACCCATTGCTATCAATATTCACCCCGCTTCGCGTGGGGTGGCCGCCCACACCGCAAGTTTATTTCGGTCCGTGAGAGGGGCTAAGGGTGGTTTTCCCCCGTGGGGGCTCCCCAAGCTAAGAATTTTCACTTTCCCCCCCCGTGGGGGCTCCCCAAGCTAGGGAATTTTCACTTTTCCCCCCCGTGGGGGCTCCCCAAGCTAGGGAATTTTCACTTTTCCCCCCCCGTGGGGGCTCCCCAAGCTAGGGAATTTTCACTTTTCCCCCCCGTGGGGGCTCCCCAAGCTAGGGAATTTTCACTTTTCCCCCCCGTGGGGGCTCCCCAAGCTAGGGAATTTTCACTTTTCCCCCCCGTGGGGGCTTCCCAAGCTAGGGAATTTTCACTTTTCCCCGCCGTGACAGCTTCCCAAGCTATGGAATTTTCACTTTTCCCTCCCTTGGAGGCTCTCCAAGCTGCGGAATTTCAAATAGCTAGACAACGACGCCTAGATAGTCCCCCAAATCCCGTGTTCTTTGAATGTGTTTCCATGTTTTTGCAATGGTTTCCTTCAAAGCACGGTACTTTACACTTTTGTCGCCATAAAACCGGTCGAAAACATCATGTTCGACAATGCTTCCAATTCCCTTATCTCCCCAACCGTTGAAAATACCGCTATTTACAGTGTTTTCTTCAATTTTTCCATGTTCCAATGCCGGTAGCCAACTCCAACATATATATAAGAAATCCTTCCAAAACATTGTTTTTGACAGTGTTTTTCCAATGTTTCCAGTCAAACAGACGGTAATTTACACGTTTTTTTGCCATAAAGGCAGTAAATCCTTCCAAAACATTGCTTTTGACAGTGTTTTTGTAATGTTTCCAGTCAAGCATACGGTAATTTACACGTTTTTTGCTATAACGTCAGTCCAAAACACTTGTTTTTGCAGTGTTTTCAATGCTCTGGCATCCAAAAACCCTGCAAAATCTTGCTATGTACAATGTTTTTTTCATTTTTGGCCGTTTTTCCATTGCCGGAAAGCTACCAAAATGACCCAAAATTCCATTTCAATACCCTCTTGCGCTCAGACACCCAAAAATCCTCGAAAAATGTCGAAAACACCACCGTATTCTGGTCTCGGTGCGAAACCGTCTGGTCTCGGTGCGAAACCGTTTTTGGCCCCCCCCCCAGCTAAAGCTGATATAGCGACTGCTATATTAACAAATGTCATTGAGCATTTAGTGTTGCTGTTGCCCCCCAATAAGCACGCCTTCACCGCCAAAGCGGTGTGGGCGGATTTTTTTTTGGTGTAATTTTTCGGCAAGATATTTTTTTCTCGCAGGGCCATGCAATGGAAGAACAGTTGCAGGCTTTGGAGGTGCCTAAGGGGCCAGGGTCTAGCGGGGCCTAGGGCCTGTCTTTGGATCCTCCTTTTGCATTCTTTCCTGCGCTTGACCTTTGCATCGTTTGCCATTTCAGAAAGTCTTCCAGGCCAATTGATTGAGCTGAGCACATGAACATGTTCAATTTGGCGAAAGGTTGGGCGCAAGAAAGCTACTGAAGGGTTGGAAGCTTAAGATACTTTGGCTACAAGAGACAGGGTCAAGAAGGATCTGATTCAGTAAAGCTCGCTGTGCTTCACCCTCAATATGCTACTGTTTCTTGGGCTGATTTGTTTTGATCCCAAGAGATTTCAGGCTTTTATCTCTCGGTCTTTCACGGAACATGTTGCTTCAGATGTGAATCATGTAAGCCGCTAGACATCGATGACTTGTCACGAGGCGCCGCTTGCTCATGATGCAGAAGAGGGCAGAGGGTTGAGGCCTGGAAGACTTGGAAGACTTGGAAGACTTGGAAGTTCAGTTCCACTTGTCCCCCTGCAGTCTCCTGCGGTTGTGTAGAGAAACAGGTCCAACACCTGTTTCAAATTGGCGCTGACATCGCTTTGCCTCACATGACCGAACACCTTGGCTTTTGCGAGGCCTGCCTCATGACGAAATCTTGTGTTCCGGCTGCTGGGTTTGCATGAACATCGACTCTGCAGACTCATCAGTTGCCACTACTGTCTACTATCCATAGCAATTCCATACCATTATCAGATGACAAGTTCAAAAAGCCAAACCATTCGCAAGATTCAAGGTGCTTCAGAAACCGCCGCAGGGCCAATGCACTAAATAATATCTAAATTAGATTCCATTTGCCTCATGTGGCCAGAGGATCCGACTGATTGAGGTTATCTTGCTCACGCATCGACTAGATGCCAGTGAGTTTTCTTGTGTGAAGTATGTTCCCTTGGCTCGGAACGATCTGTTCAAAAAGCATGTGGCTCTCGGTCAAAACCCTTGTACCTTGGTGAACACTATGAAGTGAATCAACCATAACGAGATGTTCACCTCCCACGTAGTGACGTAGTGATGAGCTTGACAGTTTGACTACGCATTACAAACTTTGCAATTATTTGCCCATCTCTTCTGAGCCAAGTTCAATCTGCGTACAGGCGTACAGTAAATCATGTCAAGATTCAATGGGGCATTGCCGGGCATCATGGTTGAATTCTCTCTATCCGGGCCCTGCCAGGACCAGGGGAGATGTGTGGGATGTCAGCAGGCAGAACCAGATAGGACAAGATATGACAAGATAGGATGATAGGATGACTTTGTACAGTTTGGCCCTTGGATTCCTTGGATGCAGTTATTGGCTGAACACCCACTGAAAGGAACCGCTCCAAATGCAGGAGATGATCCTACCCTGTAGAAAGTAGACTAGACGACTCTTGCCTAGAAGGTAGAACACCTGTACTGGGTGCAAATTCGCTGGGTGCCGATCTGCCGATCTATGCCAGATTGGCTCTCTGGCCACATCTGGCCACCAAAGCATGCTGTGAGGGTCATGGCTGTTCAGAATGAGTGATCTCAGTGATCTCATCAATCCTTTCTGGCACAACTTCCAACTTTTCGTCACCCTCGGCCCTAGGCTGAAAGAATTGTATGTAACATGACAACTGTACAACTGTATATACAATATTTTTATATACATGTGTGTGACTGAGTATATGCATTATTTTATCAATCAATTGAACAAAGTGTAGCAGGACCAGAGCCAACGACCCTTCTCGTGGGCTGTGCTCACGAGCGTAAAGTCAGGCTTGTGACGTTTTGATGGCCTGGAATTGTCTCGCAAAACTCTATGGATTTTCGCAACAGATTGGGGATGGCAATGCCATAAAAATGGCATCCTTGTAGTTGGCACGAGTTGGAACCGAGTTGGAAGGCATTCGAAAAATGACCTGTCGTTCTGCTCTTCGACCGCCCTCTTCAAGAGGGTGAAACCGAGTACCGTCCAGCAGACCCATGTGATGCACTGTCCAAGGACCTAAGCTTCTTGATTTTCGATTTCCGGAGCATCAGTGCAGATTGCACTTCAATGTATTGCTATATATTGCTACAGTGCCATGCTGTCATAGCTGCCATAGCTGAAGTGATCATGCCTGGTGATGCGGGGCAGGTCAAAGTCCTACAAATCGCGAGGCTGCTTTGAACTCACCCTGGGCGTAGGTGATGGGATGAACTGGTTCGTTTTTTGGTGTGTCCATTTCAAAATGAGCTGCACATTATCAACTGCCCAATGCACCTATCCCTTATTTGTTCGGTTTGCTGTAGTGCAAATCCCAGCACCTGCTACCCCATACTTTCAAAATCTTTCAAATATTTGCAAGGTAGAGAACGTTCTCGGGCCAAAGACAAGGCACCATTCTTGAAGGTATTTGCTCTGTTTTGCAGCTTAGTTTGAAAATGTCATGGGTTCCAAAATTGTGCTTGGAATATTCTTCCATACTCCTCCAGCCTGTGAGATTTGCTTGACTTCGTGACACTCTTGCACTTTGTTGAAGCCCCACGCTGTGAAGTTGTGTGCAAACAGGGCAAGAAGAGTCCAGAACCCAGTTTGACCCTTCGCTTTGCCTTGCGAGATGGAATGCAACCACCAAGCAGTCGCATTCTTTTTTCTATGCACCTTCGAGAGAGCAGTCGTGTGATTTGCTCATTGAAACTGTGGTCATGATAGATCCACCTTTTGATGAGTGGTTGGTCATGTTCTCACAATTTCTCACAGGAAGTCAATAAGACTGTCTTGCAGGCAAGTCATCAAGTGAGGATGCGCCGTCAAGGCCAATAGGGAGGGCTGATGTTGTTGACGTGTAGTAGGGTCTGATGGGGTCGCTGTTGAAGATACCAACCTTGATTGACCAAACTTTCTGGTTTCGCAACGGTAAACGTTGGCAAGATACTTAAACTTCTTGCATAAGTTATGTAAACTTTATGTACACTATGCTATGCATTGTTGAAAGACATCTTGCACAATGCAAGAACTGCTTGCTGGACCTGCTCAAAAGATAGTGCAATTATTGCGCTTAAAACTAGAAGGGACGAGATGGGACAGGGCTTGGGCAGTTATGCCATAAATGGCTTCCAAGAGCACAAGCCCAGCTGGGATCACAAGCTCTGGAAACTAGAGAATCACCTGTGAACATGCTTGGAACACCAAGAGGAGCACAGCTAAGATGTTTGATGAACCTGTCCTCAGCTTTTCAAGAGAGTACAAACATGTACAAACTCAATGAAGTCAGACATCAAGGTCCTAATGCTATTTAATGCGTGGATGGAGATTGGGGCTTGGAGTTTTGACAAGCAAAAATGTCAAAAGATGTCTAAAGGAATGCTCCATGTGGACGTGTGTGGTGCAGGTCGCCAAGATCCGAAGGAAGGCTGGGGATGCGAGTTAGAAGAAACAATTGATCAAACTGATCAAACAATTGGAAATTGCAGATTCGTTTCCAATGAGCCATCAATGGCAATAGATGCAATAGAATTTCAGCAAGATGCTCATCCAGAAATGGAAGCGGCCGTTGACTGTGGAAACCAGGTGGAAGCGAGATGAAGGCCATCCAGGGCCCATTGATGTGACAAATTGTGAAAAGCTGTGACAAGTGGGGAGAGTGCGACTTGAACAGTCATGGAGGCGACAGGGGCACCCAAGCATTGTCTGGAAAGTTGCAGGCTCAGGAACCAAACCGAGAAAACGGATGCACCATTTCAACATATTATAGTCAGTGAAGGCACATTCGTCAACTAAGTGGGATGCTGTCGGGAAGTACGAGCCTTTCTCAATTTTGTGTGCACTTTGCCTCACTCCTCGGGCACCTTCTGCTACCTTGCTTCCATGCAAAGCCTGATTCAGCCCAGGCCAGTTCAGCCAGATGCCAAACGGCAGCTTAACCCGCAGTCAGAACTGTCATCCAATGTCATTTGATGTCATTCGTTTAAGTATGGGAGAGAGAGAGAGAGAGAGAGGGTGAAGACAACCGCAAAAAAGTAACCGCACGAATGCAAAGTGCTGATATAGAGCAGAGATCACAATTGATGAAAAGCAACACGGGTACATTACATGTGCATCCGCTTGCACTCTTTTGATTTCATTTGATTTATTTCCAAACTACCCGCATCATGGCCCGCATCTAGCGACATTTCTTGGAGATGCTTTTGAATCATTTTGCATTGCTAGTCTGAACAAGGTCTCCAGAAAGGGGAAAAGCATGGCCCTCAGTTTTTGCCACAATGGCTTCAGACTTTTTGGACAGACTGGGCTTTACTCTGGCTCAGCTTAGGATCGCCCCGACAAGGATGACAAGGCTCAAGTAAGTTTTTTGTTATTTTTTTGCTTGACATATTCGGTATTATTCGGACCACTCCAAGTTGCTGTTTCGGAGATGGTCTATGTCAATATGTTCTGACATGTTCTGACATGTTCTGACAATCCAAAATGTGGAACAGGAAGACTCCGGTGACTCTGACGTGGACCTGTCCAAGGCGGGACATTTTGGAAACCACGACAGCGCACCCAATTGCAACAGTGCGTTTGTTGGCGACTGGGGCGACTGTCGCGACCGACAGGTTCAAGAGGAAATAAACTTTGCGGACATTTGAAAGCACCTTGCCCTGCAATTTTTGGTTCCAAACCTGGACTTTTCCTTTGCACGTGCAAGAAAAGAATTTCTGTGAATTGGTTCGTTCCAGGTAGATGTATGGTATTATAGAGGTGCACAGCTCCTGTTTACCTTTGGTTGCGAGATGTTACGAGCACGTGGCGCCAAGTAATTACATAGCAGATGTCCATATTGCAGATTGCAGTTTCTCCATGAGAAACCTACAAGACAGACATCGAGGACTCTAGGAATCACCCAATGTGAGACAGCCTGAGACAGCAGCCAAGAGTGTAATTGCAGTGTCCTTGACCCCAGATCCTCAACCCCAGGCACCATCCTTGGTTCGTCACCGGGGCAGCAGACGTCTTGAACTTCACCAACGCCGAACGCAGTCTGAACCCCAGAACCTCATTTCAGACATTTTGATCATTTTGCTTCATGGGATTCATGGAGCTCCAGGAAATGCAGCTGAAAAAGGGTTAAGCCGGTTAAGCAATCTTAAGCAAAGATTGTTCCACCAAAGATCACCAAAGTAATTAGCTGAAGATGCTGAAGTGAGCGAAGTGAGCTGCTGAATCGAAACCTGGCAGCTGTCGAGGTTCTGCCTGCAGGCAAGGCAGATGGCTTCGATGCTTCTTGGAGACGTCCGACAGCTGCCGAGTTGGAGCTCTGGCAAATTCTGGCAACATCAGCATCAAAACCATCAATTTGTTTTGGATGTTTTGGTGGCCTTTTGGTGGCTCTCGCCATGTGATGCTTTAAACTTTCAAGAATCTTTAAAGCATTTTAAAGCATAATTGTTGTAAGCCAGTTGCTAAAACAAGCACATGTTTTGAGGAGGTCGTTTCGAAAGACCATCCCTGTTTCTCTTGACCTTTGCAATCAACATTCCGCATGGCTTCACACTCCAACTGTGCACCAGTTCAATCAGAGTTAAGAATTTGGATTTTTGCATCGATTTTGAATCGTACTAAATACCTAGAGTGTTGCAAAAGCGTGTTGGATAAGAGTGTTGCTAGAGTGTGTTCCACGACAGTGTTGTTGAAGTGAAGTGTGAGAATGTTCCGAGAAACTGCAAGGCGAGGGATAATGCAAACCACTGTATTTTCCTTTGTGGATGCTTCAGTCGATCTTACCAGTTTTTTCAATTCGGGTTCGTGGTTTCAATCTTGTTATTTTTTTTGGCATTTTGTCTTCTTCCCGCTCTCAATCCTGTGGAAAGCTGGATATGATGATGGAAAGGGTTGTCTTTTCTTATTTGTTTTCTTATTTTTTATTCAAGTTTCGGATGTGTTTCAGATATGGCAAATGCTGCGGTGCCCTGCGGCATGCGGCTTCGCATAAGTTGTTGCAGGAATTCACATAATTCACGAGCGATATACACGTGAGAGCTTCAACTCGTAAATCGATGCTAGCGCCATGAAGAATGCATACCTGCAATCGCAATCACTTGCGATGCCAAAAGCATCAGGACACATGGCAGAGTCGAATAATTAGCAAACTAATTAGAGAATTTATGCATTTATGATCTGTATGATTATGAAATATTATAAATGTATACAGATACGGACATATATACACACATGCACACCTTTACCTCTTTGAAAGAGTTCAATCCCTGACAAATGAGGAGGCTTGGATCAACGAGAAAGTCCTGGGACAGAGCTGGTTTGAGAACTGCACGCTGAAGCTGCAGAAGCTCTGAGCAACGTCAGTCAAGACTGTTTGGCGATGCAGGGCGGCCTACTGTCGAGCGAAGGCACAGAACTTTTGCTTCCTTGCAGATTGCCGTTTCTTTTTCTGAATGTTCAAGTGAGATCCGCCCCAAGTCAACACCACAGCTGTATCGGACGCCTGCTTGATTTTTGAAGCTAGAGCTAGGATGTTTGTCACTGCGCTCTACTGTTGGAGCTGTGTCACTGCCCATCTTTATGTTTACTGAAATACAAAGGTGCAATTTCAATCGGCAAAAAGCAGTTTGGATGCTTTCCATATCTTTCCATAAGTCTTTCCATAAGTCTTTCCACAAGTTTTTCCATATCTTTCCACAAGTCTTTCCATATCTTTCCATCATGAATGATTTGCCTGCATTGACTGCCTTGATTTTGGCAGGTGCCACTTCGCTGTGGGGCAGGGAGTTGCTGAATGGTGCAGAGCCCAAGACCACCGCAGCGTAATAAAGTAGGGGAGACTGGAAGCAGACGAGCAGTTTGGGTTTGCTGGCTGTACATGGACAATATGGTAAATCTAAATCTATGTGAATCTATGTAGAGATTGCTAATTTCATGTGTGATGGCTTTTGGTCGCCTTTCTCCGTGAAGTCCTGTTAGCGTTGCCAACTGTGCTTGGCAGCAATTCTTCGCAAATCTCGCATTTTGAAGAGGCTCAAACAGCCAAGGTGGGCTATCAGCATCTATCAGCTTCCATAGAGGAGCAATTTAGGATTCTTGAAATTCTTGACGAGAACTCCGAGAACCCCTCAGTTTGCAAAAGCTACATGCAGGGCGTTTGAGAGCTTCAGGAAGGGTCAGGGCCAGGGTCCATAGCCATAGCCGTGTTAGAAATTTATTGTCATGGCATGGGCGCGGCTACCAAAATTGTTCAGGGTTGACTTTCTGTAGATTGATCGACATTGTCATAACACTGCAACTTTATCCTGCCTCATCACAATCATCCTCATTGTCATCTTTGCTGTCATCGTCGTAGTCCTTGTCCAGTCATAGTTTTTAGAATGCTGATCAATTTGTGACCACCACCGGCTCCGTGTGTATGGAGACTGCCCACTGGTGATTTTAAGGCGATTTGTTCCGAAAGCTGTTGGTCCAAGATGTCTTTCAGGAGAAGCTCAGCATTGCTGCTGCAGTATTCTCATGTAGTCTCATCTTGCATTTTCTTACAGCTTGCAGGAAAAGCACACTTTACGACTCTACGTGAAGACCTTTAACTTTCAACCGAAGGAGGAGCCTCTGGCTGAGACCCCAACTCCAAGTGATTTTGTGTTTTCACTTGCCTCAGTCTGGCAGACAGTCTAGCAACCTGGCAGCAGGACCTGACCCTGGAGGCGGGGGAAGATATTGGAGCAGGAATGGCAAGTGCGGCAAGAGTTCTGGTCGGCGATGTTTTCAGATTACTGCAGCACTTTGAGCAGTCTAAGGGTTGCTACTGCCCACAACTTTTGCAGAAGTTAGCTAGAGAATCTACGAAGTTCCACAGAATACTGGCGAAATTCTTCAATCATCTTCGATCTATTTAGGTCAATCTGAGGTCAAGTTTAAGGCAACACTATGTGATTCTGAAGGGGTGCGCTTCGTACTACAGGATTTAACCGTCAGATCTTCAGAAAGTTTCAATTTGATAGGTCTGATAGGAGGTCTGTGGAATAGGATTCCAGGAACCAGGTGGATTCGGGTTTTTGGTCTTTCTGCAGGTATGGCGATTGTGAACTGGCACCAGCTTCCAAAACCAGATGACTGTCTCACTTGAAATCGCAAGCAGTCAACGGATGTCAACTGTGTGGGGCATATAAAAAGGACCAGTATAACCGACTTGACCTCTTGAGTTGTTGGAACATTCCAGCTTGGGCTCAAGTCCCTCACGAGTGCCAAAATTCGGGACTTTCTCACTGCAAGCCGCAAGGCGCCGCAAGACCCAGTTAGTTTGGGCTTGAATTCCCAGCTATTTTTACTGGGACAACTGCAGATGCAATGTGGCCCTTTTCAGCTGGCTCAAGTACAGTCAAGGTTTTCAAATGTACCATGAATATTCTTTCACTATTTTGCTGGTTGATTTTGTGAGGTGCACACACGCACGCACAAACACACACGCACACACACAGAAAAACACGATCCCGTTAAGCGCAAAGGTAGTCTTCAAGTTTTGGCTTGTTCCGCTCCAAATAGAAAGGCTGAGAAAAGCATCAAAGAGCATCACAGGAGCATCACAGGAGCATCACAGGAGCATCACATGTTCCGTTTCCAATGACACGTCACAAACTCCAAGATCAAGGACCAAATTGTCCATTTTTGGACTTATGACTGGGAGTGAAAGTGCCATGTCGGGTCAGTTTCCCGGTATGACATGCAGGAGCCAAGGACCGCCAAGCCTGTTGCATCCTGCAAGACAACTCAATCCTGCCCAAGACATCGGAAACTGCTTGCTACTTGATGCTTGCTCAAGGAACACAGATGGGCTGCATGACCGCATTGCAAAAGTTCCTTGGCTGTGTGTTGTCAGAGTCTTCCGAACATAGGTCCATTCAAATCAGTTTAGCTTGAAACTACAGTTGCAAACGTTGCAAACGTTGCAAACGTTGCAAACGTTGCAACATCCCAACATGTTGCAGTGGACCCATTGCAGCGATCAGCCACTGCAACGCACCAGACGGTCCCAGGCTGTGCTCTCCCAGTATGATGGTCTACCCGGTCGTGCGAAGCCTCAAGGTAGGAGTCGGTAGGAGTCGGTGTCGCAGTCGGTGTCGCAGTGGGTGTCGCAGTCGGTGTCGTGGGTGTTTGTGTTGTGTGAACATGTGTCATGGCGAAGCATTGTGGGAAACATTGTGTGAAACTGAGACTGCGTGAAGCATTTTGAAAAGCATTTTAAGCTTTACATTTAGAAGAAAAATGATAAGCAAAAGCAGCAAACTGGCTGTACTTCAGGCCGAGCGTGGACAGTGCTTGCAGGCATCGTTGCTGAAACACATGGAGACTTGGAGGTCTTAGCGAGGAGCTTAGTTTGACGTGAGACTCGGTGAGACTATCCACCTCATTCGCTTGAGACTATCCTCACTTGACATTCGCTTGACATTCGCGGGAGTTTCCCAAGAGTCAAACTGGCTGAGAGGCCCTTGCCACCGGCACGCGCTGTATTGGGGTAGCAGCCATGGTGGCTGGCTGTGGACAGGCACGTGACAAGATTCAAAAAGTGTACTCAAAGGGTAATCAGTTTGGTTGCAGTTTATTACTCCGCGTTCATATTGTTTCCAGAGTCTCTGCAACTTCAGCTATTTGTCCTTCTATTCCAACAAAGACTCGTGCAACTAGAAAATCCTTCTGTGCTGCCTTTCCAGGTCGTGCATGACTGCCATGCTGAGGCTCTTCGCTGATCTTTATAGACCCATTCTATGATATCTGTGACACATTAACACAATGCAAATGCGCAGTGTGTTCAGAGTGATACAAGATATCAATGATACAATATGATACAATCATTGATACCATTGATACAATGACATGAAGGATTGGGGAAACATTCAATGACATTCAATAGGTCTTATGCCGACGAGCCTTTCACCGTTTCCTGCTGGGTGAGATGCTTTATGCATCGGGCTTATGTCCAAACATCAACGATATTCAACGTCTCTGCCTGTCCCCATCTTTCTCTTCGTATTAACATTTCATGACCTGATGAGGTGAGCAATGATGGGCAGAAGGAGACGAAGAACTCCGAGAACTGCTTACAATGCTTTTGAATGCTTTTGACACATTCATCTTGCGTTCATCTTGTTATGTTCATCTTACTGTGGCCTAGGAGCAGAGGAGATCAAGCATACTTGAAATGGTCCGCAGGGAGGACAGAGTCGGCTGAAAGTCATCAAAATCGACGTAGTCGAATGTAGTCGCTGTGTAGGAATCAATGTCAAGCTGTCAAGCTTCCACAGACTGCAATGTTTTATGAGGACCCCCGGAATGCGCACTCTCCGACTAGCCAACTGTTGGAGGTCAACAAAACATAACAAAACATAACAAAACCATACAAAACCATGATACTGTATGTGCTAGAAGATGCTAGAAGTATTCAGGTGAGTTGCGATGACCTGGAAGACTCTTCCTTAATATTCCTTAATCCCATATTTTGCCCTATCCCGTTTACGGTTCCCGCGAGGAGCTTCTGTTTTCCCTCCGGAGCGATGTCAATTTGCACTTTTACGCTCAGAGCCCAGGGGAGCCCGGAAGCAGCTGAAGCAACAATTCTTCATCAAAATTAGAAGTAAAGAACCCTAGCTTGATTCTATTTGATTCTTCGTTAATCTTTGTTGACCTTTCCATTCATTTTGGTGCGTCTTCTCTTTTCTGGAAAGGGGCCGGTTGCTTGCGGCTGTTCCCCACTCTGTGTAGTAGTGTGCTTTGCCGTCTCGCGTGCTATTTGTACCTGGAATTTGCTTGGATCAGTGGTGCTCTGTTGATGGACAGAAACTGTCCCTTGCGTGCCAACTTGGTGCCTTCTCAATTCATGGAATAAAGTCATGCTTACAGGGGAGTAGTGCAAACACGAGCTATCCAAGCTGGGCCTCTGAAAGCACTGCCGTTGAGAGCAAACTTCACTGAAAGACTCTGAAAGTGTCACGATTGTCACGCACAGGGTGCGCTCTTCTTAGGATCACCATGGATCACCATGGATCCTCTTTGCACGTTGCAGATGTGCTTCTGCACTTTTGGGCCTGGTGGGTTTGGCATGAAAGCTATGAAAGGAGATTGTTAAAAGATGTTAAAAATGCCCGACGAATATCTTGCTTCCGAGAGTGTGCCAAAGACTCGAGTAGCTGGTGACCTGGGTGGAGAGAAAAGACAGCAGTGCGTGCATCACCAGTGAAGCACTTGATGTTCAGGAACCATCAGGAACCCACATCCAGCATTCTTTAACAATTTTGGGATGGCTTTTACCTGTGGCTATGAGATCTTCCCTGACCTCTTTCTCCGACCTCACCGTGGAGGCTACAATCCGTCTCAGGTCTCACAACTTCAAGCCCCCACTACCCCACGGATGCCGAAAACCTTCCAAAACTTCTTGGAACGCAGTGTACTGCGATGGTCCTGCATTTCTGAAGCTTCGAAAGCACCACAACCACCAGCTTGAACAACAAGCATGTACCCATAAGAGCATTGAGGGTATGCATGACGGTGTGGTACCTTATGGCTTCGACTGCAATCAGTTTGAGATGCTGAGATACCAGTACTGTTGGGATCTCCAGCTGAGTTCCTGCTGGAGTTCTGTAAGTTGGTTTCTATCTTTTGGTATGATGTGAGAGCCTTCGTGCTTCTCCAAAAAGTCCGATCAAAAGCAAACACATGCCTTTGTGTTTTCTCTTTCTAGAAGTCTTTCTGTGGTCCAAAAGAAGTTTCAACTCTCCAACGGTGAACAAATGAGGTCAGCGCACTACCCTGCGGAGAATGTGCAAGCACCTTAGCCTCAGATCCTAGAACGTCAGGAGATGGACAAGCAAAGCTGTGAACACCTTTGAAAAAGTGCCTCACCCTGTCAGCTCAAGCAGAATTCACTTGGATGTTCTGCTTGGTTTTCTGCTAGTTTTCTGAATGCTGGACTGCGCTCAGACGTTGGTGCCCTTACAGAGCAAGGAAGGGACTTTGGCCAGGAAGATGACGGAGGCGCTGTTCTGCACAATTCACAGTCAGACTTTGGCCAACGGTCCCAAAGCACCAGAGAGTGAAAGTAGATGAAACGAATGAAAGTAGACAAAGACAAAGGAACAGCAGAAAGGCGATGCGGCGATGAAAGTGCACTTCAATGCACCTCTGAGAGACTCTGAAGACTGTGACACTCAGCCGTCTCGTTCTGTCTGCAAGGAAAAGGAAGCCGCCCCTCTGAATGATCGCAACAGGAACGATGCTGCCACATTTTGAATCATCTTCGCCATGTGCGTCAAGTTGTCTTCAGGACTGGCGCAAAGCCATCTCGTGGAATGCCAAACGATCCTAAGGCTTCTGACACATCTTGTTCTGGGCTTGGGGTCATTTGAGCACATGAGTGAAACAGTGCAACACCGCCAACTGCTTGGCCAGGCAGAAGGAAAGGACTTTCACCAACATGGCATTCTTCGCTACAAGTCCGGGAGAAGTGACACAAGGACCTATCCCGTGTTTCAAACATTCGCGACGTGCCAGGGTATGAAGCTTGAGGAAACCAGAAGTGTGATAAAAGCTCCGCTACTGCAACATACTGCAACGATGTCAATGCAGCCTTGCGAGAAAAAAAAGGTACAACGTGCAGAGCAAGCTGGCCCTGGCCAACAGTAAATATAGTAAATCCTCTTAGGAAGAACAACAGCAACCGCACGTATTGTGCCTCTGGCTTCGGGAGTGTGTTGTGCGATTGCCTAGAACAGCAAGCAAATGAAAAAGGTCAGACGAACATGGACAAAAACGTCAGCATCGAAAAATATCGAACATATTTGAAGCGAGCAGAGTACATTATCGCAGATGATGCAAGATGATCCAAGTCAATCACACATGGTCACAAATGCCCTGTACGGTGCTGACAGGATGCTATAGGCATCTATAGGCCATCCTAGGGATGATTCGGGACCCAAATCAACAAGTCTAAGCAAGGCAATGGCAAGGCATGACCCTCAAGTTTCTTTCAACAGCTAGGAGAAGGACACAGAGGCGAACAAGGAAGAAAGCAACGACACGAATAAGAATACCGTGACTTACCATGGTATAGGGCTTTACTTCCGACAAATTAAGATATACCAACAACAAAATAACATTCATTGACCAACAAAACTACAATAGTAGCATCCGACAAATATTACTGGTTTGCCGTGGTTCGATTTCGGCAGTTTCAATGATTTTCGCAGCCGATTTGGATTCGGTGGCGAAATGATTCGAATGTAAACCACATCCTAAAAAAGGAATTGTTTTCTATGGTTGTGGATGCGATATATGGTTGTGAATGAACATTGCGGGCGTCCGCAGAATGGTTTGTGGTCCGCGGGATGGATTGCGCGTCGAAAGGTTTTTGCAAATGGACAGTTTGGGCGTGTGCAGGATGATTGGCACTTGCACGCCAAATGGACATCTGTATCTCCAATTCATTGATTTGCACATTCGTTCCATGTCATCTTTGATTTACTGAAATCATTTCCGCTCAAAATTGCACTTTTTTTTGGTCCGTGTTTTGTCGGGCAACCAAAGTATAATTTTTGTCGTGGTTCGAGCGGCGTCTTGAAATGTCTTGAATACCATTGCAGCTTTAACAGTCCAAGATCCCGAGACAAAACCCCATTTTAGGGTACAGTCTGGTACAGTCTGGTACAGTGTCAGTGAAGTCATTTCATAATATGCCATACTTATCCCCCAGTAAAGGTTCCCGCCTACTCCCAACACCTTTCCAACATTTTCCAAAACTGACCTGGTCCCCATCTGCATGCCTTGAAGCAGAAACCTGAGAGAATATAAAGTACGAAGGCCTTTGCCTGGAACAAAACTGGGCACACTGGGCACACTGGGCATAGTTTGTAGACCGCAAGGCTTCCAGCCGCTCATTAAAAGTGAATAACTTACTAACGATGACTTTGCACGGCAGGAACATACAACCATCAGACAACCAGATAAATAAAGCATATAAAGCACACACAGGAAACATTGGCATGACTGATGGTTGTATGAAAGCTCATTTTCGCTCTTATCCTTTTGCTTCACTTCGAAATCCAGATGCGTTGCAGATACTTTGCAGGCCTGAAAGTCGCACAGTGTGCTACAGTTGCTCTGATAAAATCTGCCGCTGGAATCGAGTCGGCTGGCAGGCACCCGCTTTACTTGACAGCTTTACAAAGCCTTACAATGTGCATGTTTGCCTTGTTTACCTCTTGTTCGTTTGCATGTAATGTCGATTATATCCATGTCTGTCTTTGCATGTCTATACATGGAGATGATATGTCAAAGTACATATGGTATCATATGGTCATGTCCGCATATGTTTGCACAAACGCATCTACATGTAAGTCGGCACTGCAAGTCGACACGCATTTATACACAGCGATGTGCTCTACAGTGACTCTACAGTTGAAATATGTGGAAATGTCATGTTCCAAACATTCGGTCCAAGTCTCTACTCATCATCGTTCCACTCCACACACTGAAAATTCAGGATCTGGATCATGCTTCTGATTACTCACGTGTGTGCATACCATTTGTATTTGCGTTTATAGTTTATATAGAATGGATCAATAAAAAAATAATAAAAAATACATATACACACGCACCGTTCTTAGGCATTGCTGATATTCATAATTTGTTTAATGTTCTTTTTGCAATCAAAAACTCTAGTTGGATCTAGTTGCTTCTTTTGCTCCTGGTAATTTTGCAGGATGATTCCAGTTCTGTGGTTGGCTCTTTGGCTCCAGCTCTGACGCCGCGAAGCCTCAAAGAAAGGCAACGTGTTGCAGCTTGGCCAAGGAGCACCAAGATGCGTGCAAAGTTGAGAAGGACTGCACTTTTGCAGATACATCAGATACTCCGATTGCTCATCCGATTTAACATATTTAGCTTGTTTTAGTTTGTACATCGATCTACCTCCTACTTGTCTACGAATGATGCAACTTTCGCCAGGAAATTCAGCTGTGTCTAGCCTGCATTGCACTTGCTCATAAACAGGTCGAGACAATTCGAGACAAATGTTTCCATTGAATGATAGCACTACACATGCAGCAATCCAGCCATCGGAGCTTCACGTTTCACTGCCAGCACAACGCACCGACCAATTCATTGTTTTGCCATCAGAGTTTCTCAGGTTTGCATCGAATCAGACCAGAGTTCGCTGCCATTTTGAACGACTCTACGCTGGGCCCCTGGGCACTCAGTGTTTTCTTGGACTCTCAGCTTAGACGATACCGTGGCAGAGGCATCCAGACGACATGCAGAAAGCCTGTGAGGAGGCAGTCTGTTGTACGAACGAATCGAACGAGCCGATGACTTTGACATGTTGAAATGGCTCCGTACAGGTTCTGGTGTGCCGAGAGCGTGTTCTGTGGACAGCAGGAATAGAGCTTCGTGGCCGCAGAGACTGCTGTGTTGATGAGCGCCGCGAGTTTCAAATTTCTTTCGAGAGTTTAATGACATTCCTGTCATTCCTTACAAATCCTCACATGCTTCAAGGTCAACTTTAAAGCCAAGTAGATAAGCCTTTGACTAGCGTATATATATAGGGTATTGCGCTGTACACATATTATAGCGCAAGTGTCAGGAAAACGACTCCTATACAGTATCCAAAGGTATCCAAAGTAATCTTCTTGCTTCTGACACTGCGCTCAGGATTGTTGTTGCTGCCGTGCCCTTCTCTTAGTACGATTTTAGTGCGTTGGTTTTTTGTCAGCGCCGAGTCTACAGAGTGTCAATTTTCACAGACTGTCTTCCACGGGTTGAGTGATCGGTTTTGACAGCCCCAGGTCCTTTGTAGGATTTGATGTTCGACGCAGTCCCTTGGTGCCGTGTGTGAGCTCATGCTTACTTCTGTTTCTTGGCTCTCCCGAAGCTCCTGAAGCGTCGTAAGTGTTGATCTGCAGCATTTGTTCGCCCATGTTATCCCATGTTGGCCTTGAGGCTTGCCACCCTGGGATATCACGGCGCTTTAGTTCTTAGTCAGGTCGAATGCAATGAATGCAGTGAATGCAATGAATGCAAGCACGTGCAATCACAAAGCCTCGCTGACCACGCGGAGACTTCACATCTCTTGCACTGCGTCGTCCTGCGCAGATCGAGACCGTAGTGCACACGCTGCTCTCAACCTCGATAGCGGCAGCCGTTTGCGTTTGCCTCAGCTGATCCCTGAAGCGTGTGATGGCGAATGGTACCTTGTGTGACATCGAGAATGGCAGTCACGATGCAGATATGTTGTTCATATTTGCGCAGGCGTTCAATCTGATCCCCGGATCCCCAATGATTTCCAATGATATAAAAACTTTGAGGTGTGAACTTCGTCATAGAGACTTTTGCAGGCTGGTGCTGGTGCTACCGTGCCACAAAGGAAATGCCGCAACTGAAGTGCACGCCAGGGACTCTTGACAGCACCGCAACGATGCCGCCTGTTTGGTTGTTCAATCCTCAGTGTCCAGGCTAGTTTTCAATTGAAACCGGAAAGCTTTGGCAAATGTTCATGCATGGTGAAGAGCTTTTGCACCCAAAGAGAGTAGAACTTGAGCTGTTTAAGCCTTCCCTTCACATCCTGGCTTTGGATTTGTTGCGACAATTGCTTCTGTGCCCAATTTGAATTTGGATTGCGCATTGTTTCGCCGAGGTTGCTTCTGGCACTTGTTTTGCCTTATTTCACATTGCTGGGCCTAGCACTCAAGAACAGATATTTGGGGTTGGGTGTTCACTCCAACAGGACATTTGATTCATCATCTTGTGAAACTGCTGCAGTTCAAGCCTTTCCTGCAAGGCCTAGCTGCGACCAGTGTGTTTTTGGGCATCACAATGCACGACTTGCGACAAATGAACGAGGTTGTCAGGGGCAACGGTTGCTTTATTGCTTTATATAATATTCTGCACTTGCTTTGCGCTCACAATTTCACCAATCTAGCTAATTAGTTGTGTTTCAGGAACAAAGTGTTTGAACCATGTTGAACCTGCTTAGGCTAGTGATGATAGTGATGGCTAGTGGAGAGAGCTTTGAGCTTTCGCTTTTTTATCCATAGCTACACACAGCTACACCAGGTTCTAGAAGGAGTGTAATTTATTCAATTGATGTTCAAAAGGCTCTAGCCATCCCCAAAGGCCCCCAGCGTTTAAAGTTCTCGGCAGGACAGCTCAATCAGCAGCGAAGAGTTGGAGACGCAAGCAGAACTTGCGCGGGGGCAGGACTGGCAGTTGAGTGAGATTTTGGAATTGAGCTATCATGAGGATTCACGAGATATCTTAATTGTAATTCTTATGGATTCTTATGGCATCATCAAACTTTGAAACAAAAGCGACTTGAGCTGCTTCTTGTACCGCACCAGGATATGTGTTGCGTTTGCGTGTCCGAACGCAAAGACGCAGCACTGGTTCCATGTGGACACAAGGCACGGACTTCAGTTGCCTCCTAGGATCTCCTAGATGCAACATGACTCTCCCCACAAATCAGAAAATGCTGCATACGGTACTGCAGATTCGTGACAACTTCACGTCCAAAAGCAGACAGGGTGTTCAAGCGATCTTTCACGTTGGACGAAAGTGGATTATTTGTCGATGCTTCTCAACTAGGATTCCACAGCACGAACTCAAGATCATGATCTGTTTGTCAGGCAATGTGCTACAGGTGTTCATGCCAGGTCCAGTCACGTGGTCTGTGTCTCAGACAATCTCACATTCATTGTTTGCATTCGCCCTGCAACAGTGCCCATGCAAGAAAAGTCAGTGGATATCGATGGTATCCAGAGACACCAAGAGATAGCAAACCGAGGTCTTGCCTGTCCCGTTTGTCGGACCCCAATAACTCGCGTCCTTCGTGTCTTCTACCCAGAGCTGGAGCGATTCAAAGTGAGCCAAATTTGGAGAAATTTGGAGAAGCTCGGTGGATGGCACTCGGGCTTGAATCTCGTGCATAATTAGCGGCACGAGCTATCAAGGTCTTTGACTGCTGAGTGCTCAGAGAGTGCGAGAGTTTTTCAGACGACCCTTTGGTTGCTATTGTCCTGGTGTTCTGGTTGTGTTCTGGTTGTGGCCAAGAATTTGATTCTAATTTGCTCAGCTGTGAAGCTGTGCCCTGAGGATTTGGCACCTGCATTGGCAAGGCAGTTGTGTCCGGTGCTCTTCAATGCAAGTTACTGACCACAAACTCTCTTGTCATTTGTCCCTGTGTGGCCATCATATCAGTCACAATAGTCACACCTACACACATATCATGAAATTAAGATGAGAGAATATGAGAGACAATCAAACCGAGTCCTGGCAAAGCTGCAGGACGCTGCAGGTGCGCGCTCATCAAAGCAGTATGAGCTGAGGGTATTGCGAGACTGCGAGACCCGTGCTGCGCAAAAGATTGCCTGGAGAGAATGAACGAGGTGGTGCTTTCAGACCAAGTATCTTGAAAACAAGTGCTTAAAGAATCTTAAAGATGCTTTCAAATCTTTCAATATGCTTTAAGATGCTTCAAGTATGTTCAAAAAAAGATAAAGGTGTCTACACTCTTTGTGACTCTTCATGATACGTTGGACCGGGTGACCATTGGTGACCATTGGTGACCACCCCTGGCCCATAGGATGAACTAGCCTTTTTCGGGCCTTGAAAACCCGACAGCACTCGTCAGATTATTAATGCCATTTAATGCCTCATTGGTCCTTCCCACAGATGTTTACCCTCTCTTTCCACGGCGTTGCAGGGTGCCCTGCTGTCACGACTGGTGAAGGCGCGCTTTGACATGGGGTGCCTCAAACTTTGGAGCTCTGAGAAAGTGAAACTAGTACTTCCTTGCGATCCTTGCGATCAGATACGCTTCAAAGAATACTGCAAGATATTGGCTGAGATGCTTCGAGTGTTTGACAGGGTCCTTTGCAGATGCAGTCCATTGTCATCGGTGGCTCCATATACGATGGAGGCATCCTTCGCTGGAATTTCACAAGGGACAGATTGCGGGAGCTTCACTTAGACTTCTTTGGCTGTAGAAGTGCTTTCTTATTCTCCAAACGAGATTGATCACTTGCACCTTTCAGCCTGGGTTGTTCTATCCAGTCAGCGCTTTCGTCAAGTGCAGGCTTTGTCCAACAGGCCTTGTTTGGCCGTGCATTGGCCCCACCGGGAATAGCTCCAGAGTCTGACACTTCAGTGTGCTTTCGAGCGAGGTCATGAGGTCATATCATCATCATCTTATCTCTATTTATCTCTCAAATCTGTTGTGCGATAACTTGTGACACTTCTGAGGTTTTGCCACACAACTCTCGTTTTCCACTCGTCTCGAGAGGTGCCTTTTTGAATCTCTCTTCATGCGTTGCGCTTATAAAAGAGCAACCTGGGGACCCCTGGGGATATGATGTTTGTTGGTGTTCTTCAAACATGGAAGCCTGTGTGTAACTGATTTTGCCATAATTTGATAATATGTATATAAGTAAGTATAAAAGTAAATACACGTAAATAATCGTAAACACATATTTGATCATATTTCTATGTTCAGATATGCCTTTTCAGATGGGGAACGGGCCGCTCGGCCAGTGATTTATGGCTTCTTGGGCTTGGTTCCAGGCGGCTGAGGCAGATGAAGCATCTTCCAAGGAGCCGCCCCAAGGAAGTGGGACGATGGAATGGCGGTCTGACATCTCGATAGAAGAAAACCTTCTTCTAGAACTTAGAGAACGTGATAGAACTACTTATACTTGGAGCATCTTGGAGCAAGAGAGAAAGTGTCCCTGGAGAGTGCAACGTCTTGCAGGGATCTATCACCCAGTCCGCAAATGAAAAGGACGATCTTGCAGCAAATAATAACCACACTGTACTTCGGATGATGCAACGGGCAAATGAGGAGAACAGGATTGAGACCTTGAGAGGAGAAGGGAAAAAACACTTATATAGAACTTAGGACTTCGGGAGGGGTGCACGTGCAAGGTAAGGATGAGATCATCTGACATTCATTGACACATTGACCATATTTTGTGTTTATGGATCACATTTGGGCCAGAACCTAGCGGCTTCACAAAGCCAGGTCTCCACCCCAGGCTTGAGCTTGGTGTGGAATGCCGAGCAGCGATCAGGCGGGCTGATTTTGCACCCCGACTAAGATCGAGACTGTGCAGATCTGTGCAGTTTTTTAATGTTCTTTATGCACTTTACGTCCGTCACTACGACTCTTTAGGTTTTTCAGTCACGTGCAAGACTGCGTGGATGCCAGGTGTTTCAACTTCTTCCAGGAGACTGCTGTGAGAGTATTCACAAAAATTTACAAGAACTGCACAAACAGTGGAGACTCTCTGTATTTTTCTGTGGTCAAAGCTTTGCTATAGCTTTGATGCCCTCAGACCAAGCAAGAGCGAGAAGATCACTGGCTTCTATGACGTACTTATTGGGTGCCTCGTCATCCTCGTCGAACAGAGACACGCACGGGACATTCTGATCCTGGACAACTGGACAACATTTGCTTTGATTGTATGTGACTCCAGCTACATGAAACACATGAAATACATGACTCCTCATTCTTGCAAACATACTGTATCTGTTGCATTGGCATGCATTGGCATGCACTGGCACGTATTATTGTCGATCCAAGCACCATCCATCAATCATCCGTCCGTCCATCTGTCCATCCATCCATCCATTTATCCATCCTCCGTCCATCTATGAATCTAATCCAACGGTTTATTGCATCTTCTCTTCATCTTGTCTCTTCCTTTCCTTTTCCTTTCGTTCTCTTCTGATCGCTTTGCTTCGCCTGGTGTGTCCTTTCCATCCATCCATCCTTCCATCGGGTCACCAATGAACATCCAAGTGCCAGGCTGCCTACCTTCCAACCTATCCACCTACCCACCTCCGTACCTATCAAGCTTGCCCCCTTTGCACTTGTACACCCTCCTAACTATCTATATTATAAAATGTGTATATATATTATATATATGAATATAATTTAATAAATACTGTATAATATATATATATGATATATAATATATAAAATCCAATATATAACATTTAATGTATAATATTTAATGTATAATATATAAAATAAAATAAAATAATATATATATATATCATATATATATCATATATATCATATATATTATATATATCATATATATCATATATATCATACATATCATATATATCATATATATCATATATATATATCATATATATCATATATATCATATATATCATATATATCATATATATCATATATATCATATATATCATATATATCATATATATATATATCATATATATATCATATATATATATGATATATCATATATATCATATATATCATATATATCATATGTATCATATATATATATATATCATATAATTATATATCATATGTATCATATATGGCATATATATATAATATACAAATATCGTATGTATCATATGTATCATATATATTAAATATATCATCTATATCATATATATCATCTATATCATATATATCATATATATCATATATATATATCACATATATATATCATATATCATATATCATCTATATTTATTTTTACATATATCACATAGATATCATAAATATCATATCATATATATATATCATGTATATCATATATATCATTCATAAATCATCCATTTATATCATAAATATCATATATATATACATATCACATATATATATATATCATAAATATTTGATATATATATATGATAAATATATATGATATATATATATATGATATTTTGTATATATATAATATATTTATATATCATATATCTTAGATACATATCATATCATATATATATATATATTTATCATATACATAATATATATATATATCATATTTATATATATCATAGATATCGTGTAAATATATTATAGTTATATATATATACATCACATATATATATGATATATATCATATATATATATATATTGCGAATAGAGTGTAGGCTACGGACCATTGTACACTACCACATAATTCAGCCCTCAAAGATCCACAGCCAAGGGGTACGTCAACTGGCCCCTTTGGCTCAAGACCACTGCAAGAACCGGAACAAAGAATTGCCATGCTGAAGCCGCAACTTCTGTGCTGTCGTCGCTGAGTACACCCACTCCAAAACCAAGCTATAGTACATAATCGGGGAGACAACCTCCGATTCACAGGTTATCAGCCGTAGGACTCCTACGGAGCCTACGAGCGGGTAGCCGCGGGCCTTACAGATGACTGAGCAGGATAGCAGCGATAACGCATTTTCTTTCTCTGGACATGCCGTTGCACCAGCTGCCGGCACGCAGTCAAATTCTTCACAGAGTATCGACACTGGTGGAAGCGATGCCTCAGAACTGAGAGCGAGCCTACCCAGGTGACCTCTGGTTGCTCCTAGAGGGAGACAAATTTCGACAATGCAAGCAATCGAAGATAGGGACAGCACACCTGGGAAGAGAAGATCATCTGCACGACAATTGTCGCCTCCGATGACTCCAAGGACTAAGGCAAAGACTACGTCATCGAATCCGCCTTCACCGATTCAGGACGCTACTCCATCAGGGACAGGATCTTATCAGCAAGTGGACGCCCCGTCGAGTGGTAGCGACATCTTCACTGCCTATCAGAGTGAACTAACTGAATACAAGACATCACTGGAAAAGGCCACTGAAGAGGAATCCGTACTTCAGGCAAGATTGACTGAGACGACAGCATATGCCTATCAACAATTTAATTTCCTGGAAAGCACCACTCATCAAGAGATGATGTCGATGACCGAACAACTCCAGATGCTGAACTTCGAGTTACAGGCTGCACAACAAGAAGATGAAGGTGCGACCTACAGGATCGAAGAGTTGGAAAGGTATCAGACTATGTCGAATGAAGCTGCATCTCATTTGGAATTCAAATATTCACGACTACGTTCGGAATTCGATGAACAAATGGGACAAGCAAACGCAATTATGGTGCATGTGGGCGCTGACGCGAATGCTCACATCAATCAACTCAGACTGGAATTAGAGAACGCAGAGATGAATGCAAAGCAAGAAGCTCTGGCGGTCGGCTACGCTAATGACCAAACATGTGCTTTACAAATCGAGATGCTCGAGGTTGCCAATCAGAACCAGACGATGAAGCACACCATGGCCATGAATGTCAGGCGACTGGAAACTGAGCTAGATGCTGCTGACATGAAGAGGGATGAGATCATGAAGGAGTTCCGTAGTAACATAAGATCTGAACATGACCGTTATGCAGAATGTGAACATCACTTAGCTTTGGAAGAATCGCAACTTCGATTGCAGGTGATCCACAATGAAAACTTACAATCTCGACTAGCGATTTCTGAGAACAGGGTTTCTGAAGAATCTCTAGCTGAATCAGGCGGCATGCGGGACATGAGGAT